ATAATCCAATTTTAATCAATGAAATTGAAAATGTAATTAAAACCTTACAAACAGTCCTGATGGATTCACTGCAGAATTCTATAAGAAATTCAAGGAAGAATTAATGCCAACACTCCTCCAACTCTTCAATGAAATTGAAAGGCAAGTAAGTCTCCCTAACTCATTCTGGAAAACAAATATTACTCTAATACAAAAACCAAAGAAGGAGCCAATTGAAGAAGAGAACTACAGGCCAATCTTCCTAATGAACATAAATGCAAAATTCTTAATAAAATACTGGCAAACAGAATGGAGTATTCATCAATATTATACAAAACAATCAAGTGGGATTCAACCCAAGCATGCATGAATGTTTCAACATACACAAGTCAATAAATGTAATCCACTATATCAATAAAGCCAACAATAAGAATCACATGATTATTTCTATAGATGCAGAAAAAGCTTTTGATAAGGTCCAACACTCATTCATGATAAGAATCCTACCAAATATTGAAATAGATGGTCTTTACCTCAATATGCTAAAAGCCATCTATGACAAACCAACAGCCAGCATCATATTAAATGGCCAAAAACTGAAAGTTTTTACTCTAAAATCAGGAACAAGACAAGGATGTCCATTATCACCATCCCTATTCGACACAGTGTTGGAAATATTAGCCAGAGAAATTAGACAAGAAGGCAACAAAAGGAGTAAGGATAGGGAAAAAAGTTACATTGTTATTTGCAGATGATATGATACTCTATACAGAAGGCCTCCAAAACTCCATAGAAAGATTTCTACATGTAATAACCAAATTCAGTTATACACCTGGATAAAAAGTCAACACTCAAAAATCAATGGTATTCCTATACACACACACACAAAAAAAAAAAAAACTCACTGAGAGAGAAATAACAGAAGCCACACCCTTCACCATAGCATACAAACAAATGAAGTAATTGGGAATCAATCTAACAAAAGAAGTAAAAGATCTATTCAGTGAAAATTATAATATCCTGAAAAAAGAAAGTGAAGAGGATCTCAGGAAATGGAAAGACATTCCTTGTTCATGGACAGGAAGAACAAATATTGTGAAAATGGCCATTCTCCCAAAATCGTTATACACGTTTAATGCAATTCCAATCAAATCACGACTAACATACCTCACAGATCTAGAGAAATCATTCCTCAAATTCATCTGGAACCAGAAAAGATGCTGACTAGCAAAGGCAATTCTGGGCAACAAAGCAAAGCAGGAGGCATCACAATCTCTGACTTGAAATTATACTACAAAGCTACTGTGATAAAATCAGCATGGTACTGGAATAAAAAGAGACCAGAAGACAAAGGGAATAGATTAAAAGATACAGCCACAAGTACAAATGCACTCAGCCACCTCATCTTCGAAAAAGGAGTCAAACATGTACACTGGAAGAAAGATAGCCTCTTTAATAAGTGGTGCTGAAAAAACTGGTTTTCCATATGCCAAAAAAACTAAAACTAGACTATGTCTATCACCACATATTAAAGTCAAAATGGATCAAAGATCTAAATATTAAAACAAACACTAAAACTGCTGGAAGACAAAGTAGGTAGAAATCTTAATGACATGCAGTAGGCAGAGAATTCATGAACAAAAATTAAACTGCATGGGAAATACTTCACAGCATGAACAACTGGGATCTTATTTTATTAAAAGGTTTTTTCCATATCAAAAGAAATCTCCAACGGAGTGAAAACAAAACCCACAAATTGGGAAAATATGTTAGTCAACTGTCTCTCAGACAAAAGACTTCTATCTAGAACATATAAAGAATTTTTAAATAATCAGGCCCCACAATCCAAAAAAGGACATCTGAGATGAATACACATTTCTCAGATGAAGAAGTACAAATTGCAAATAAATATATGAAAAAATGTTCAGCATCATTGGTCATTCAAGAAATGCAAACTCACATGTGTAAATACCATATTGTTTCCCTATTATAAGAAATGGTAAGAGTACATAAGATAGAAAGTCCTCAATATATACTGTGAAAGAGTAAAAATCTGGTCAAAGGAGGAAAAAAGTAAGACTCAGGGAAAAGGAGGGGGAAAAAGGAAAAGAAAAAATATCTAAATTTGTATAAACACACTTAAAATAGTGAAAATGACCATGCTACAAATTATGTTAGCTCTTCAAACAAAACAGTTAACATTCATAAGATTGGATCAATTTTGCATGTTTGTGTCTGGTGATCTGAGCAACTCTTTTGAAGATTACTATGTAAAATAACAACCCGAGTTATGTTCCTACCACCTTATTTTGAAGCCCCTATATCATCATCATTTTGGGCTCTTGGCTAATGTTTTGGTTTTTTTGTTTCTTATTTTACTATTAATTTGTTTTCTTGTTTTTCTCTCTAATGTAGAAAGGATAGATGTACATGTACAGGTTTATATATGCCCAGAACTTCTCCTAAAGTTATCTGTAATGAAATGAACAGCTACTTTGAAGTAAAAGAGACATTATGGTAGATGATTTTCCTTCTGTCTGGTTTTGAAGGCCTGAAATACCTTTATTCTTGTTTTGATCAGTTTTATACTATTTCGTTTTGTATGAATTCATTGTGTATGAAGATATAGACAACTATAAAACAGAAAACAAGAGACATTATGGTAGCCACTGTTGATCTGTTGTGTTGCTTTGAAATTTAAGTCACTCGCATTGTTTTCTTCTAATCTGCTTTGCTCTGTTTTGTTTTACCCTCTTTAAAAAAAATGAGATTTTGCTAATCACAGTAGAAAAAGTTTAGAAAATTAACTTGTGGAAAACTGACTTTTCTATATTCATCCTATTTTATTTGTAATGTATTCAAAATACAAAAAAAGTACAAACCAGGGGTGGTGGCACAAGCCTGTGCCTCCAGGCTCCCAGCTCTTGGGAGGCTGAGGCAAGGGAATCATTGCAAGTTCAGGACCAGACTGGGTTACAAATTGAGCTTGAACTGCATAGTAATATCCTATATCAAAAAGACAAAAAGAAAAAGGTAAAAAAAAGACACTGGTCATAAATGCTTTTATAAAAATACAAAATGATGCTTAATTCATAATTGTATGATTAAATGCAGTATCTTTTACCCAATTATCATGGAGCTAGTATGTATTTCTTTTTTTTTTTTTTTTTTTTTTTTTTTTTGTCTTTTTCCTTTTTATCGGTACCGGGGATTGAACTCATGACTGTCTGCTTGCAAGAAACGTTTTCCTTTGAGAAAGGAAGATTTTTTCAAGAAAGATTTTCCTTTGAGAATTCCTTGCTCCTGTGTCAACTTACAGTTCCAGCCAGATTCACTTAGGATCTTTCCTTGTCAGCTTCATACTGTTTGAGAATATAAAGATTAAACAGCAAAAGACAGAGAGCTGGAGCCCACCTTACAGGTAATAGTAAGGTTGGTAAGATAAAGAGATATTTGTATAAAAAATTGAAATAGAAAAGCTATTTGGCTGCTTAATATCCTTCACTCTCAATATCAGTGCTATCAAATACCAATTATCTCTGTATCAGGGAAAATGTAGATTCACTGCTACCCCATGTCAGGAAAACAAAAACCACTCAACTGCTCTTGGTCAGCTTAAAATCACTCGAATATGGTGCTACTTTAACATGAGTTTTTAAAAGGCTGATATCATTATCTGTTATATAACTCTTAATTTCTATTATTCAGTAAGATATCATTTTCTTAATAATCTTGTATTACCCCCATTTTCAAAGATTCAGAGAGATTTAGACTCACCCAAGACTACATAGCTGGAACTTCTTTTATAAAGATGGCAGAAAACAACAAAATAAAAGGTAAGCGGTGAAAGAGCAGATGCTTTATCTGCATATTACATCAGTTATATGAATAACAGAAAAATATATATACTAAAGAAAATGTTGCCATCCTCAAAATAGATAGGTCATAAACTGTGCAAGAAAAATTATGTTCTATAAATGAAAATTATGAAAGCCAAGAGCTTTCATCAACAGGTCTACTGGAAAGATTCAAGCACACACTCCCATCTTCCAAGTAAAGCATAAGAAAAAAGATGACTATCTTTGGGAAGGAGTAGAACTTGGGGTAATTATTAGAATGTCCCTTATATTATAGCTAGTAAAACATCAGGAGAAATGGAGAGCACACAAGTTCAAAAGATTAGACTTTAAGCTTTCTATCTAATAATACATAATATTCATTCTTATTTTTATTACCAAGTACCCAAGCAAATCTTACATGTTTTTATACTTCTCATACACAGTACGCAAGTAGAGACCATAGTCTTTCAGACAATCTCAATTGCATCAAGGACAACACAATAAAATTTCACCAGATATTGGAGGACCAAGGCCATAAAAGACATAACTCAAAGGTAAGAGAAAGACAGAGAGCAGAAAATTCAAAAAAACAACTTTTAAATAAGTAAAATAAATATAATCAAATAAAGGAAGATTACAGGAAAGAACAGGTACTTATGAAAAACTCAAAAATATTTCCAAATGAAAACTAATAGAACTGGTACTCATATATATGCCTTTTTTTCTCCAGCTCCATATTCTATGTATGAGTTGCCCATTGGTCTACACACATATATATGTGCTTATTTGCTTACTGTTTTAGTCCTTTTGTGTTGGTATTAAAGAATACCTAAGGTTTGTTAATTTATTAAAAACAGAAATTTATTTCCTCACAGCTTTGGAGGCTAGGAAGTCCAAGATTAAGGTGCTACCATCTGACAACGGGATACTATGTCATTGCAAGGCAGAAACACAAGAGAAAAAAAAAATTTTTTTTTAGCAGAATATGTTTATTGAGAGAAAGCAACTTCTGTCTGAGACAGACAGGAGTCCTGAGTGGTTGATCAAACATCCTGCCTTTTTTAGAGATTTTTATAGAGCAAAACCACAAGGTGAGGCAGGTCTAAGGTAGAGAAAAATGAGAAATCACAAGATGGGCACAAGGTGGGACAGAACTATGGTCAACCAGTAAGATTACAAGTATAATTTCTCAGGTAAAATTTATTAAATCTGCATCAAATGGGGAAGCAAGTTACATAGCAAGGGGATAGGAATACAGAACAGGGCCTTTGCCAATAGGGTTTGTGCTTCCTCAAGGTGATTGACACCTATTTAAAATAGCAATCCCTCTATATGAAAAGCCATTTTCATTTCCACATTAGATTTAAAGTCATTTTTATTGCCACACTAAAATCTAAATGTAAGAGTAGAGATGCCATGGTCTAATCACTTCTTAAAGATCTCTTTACATGGCAATTATGTCTGAATATGAATTTCAAACTACAGCATGTAACTAGCTCCCTCATTATTTTGATTTTATAGTCTTATTTCATCTTCCATCAAATGAAACCATTCTTTTTTTTGCCTCACATCTTCTACATTGTTTGTACAAATTGCACAAATTGTGACATACTCAACTGTAGCTGCATTAAGATACTAAGAAATTTTTTAAAAAACATGGTCATCCTAGACCAAATAAATTAAATCCTCAAGAAGCAAGACTCATGTACAGATTCTATTTTTTAAAATTCTTGAATAACTGTGACAAATCTATTTTTGTTTTGTTTTAGAAAGGACTAATTATTTACCAATATGTTTGCCTCCCCTTTCCATTCTAGAAAGTTGTCATGGCTAGCAACTTCTACCATTCCAATACAGTCCCAACGTTATATCTATGCCTAGTAACTAGTTCTTGGCAAAAGACAGTAAAAGGAACAGCTTCTGGGACGAGGAATTTAAAAAGCAGGTAAGTTTATTTTCTCTTTCCTATCTGCTAATTGGATGCAGAAGATTCTCAGGGTTTGGTAGATTCAAAAATCACCAGATTGAACAAGCTTGGGTCTAAGGATCATTTAAAGAAAATTCAATTGGTTTTAAATTTGAAGAATTTAAATTTTGCTAAGTCTTACATTATTAGATTGTTAAGAAAAAAGAGCTTGTTAAGTTTCTAAAATACAGGTGGTAGTTTCAACAGCTGAAGTTACCTGAATTATGAGGGAACTTAATAGGAATAGGGTACAATGCCATATATCTGTAATTCCAGGATACAGTGGTGCATACCTGTGACCACCTTGCTAGTTCAAGTCCAGCCTGAGCAATTTAGCAAGACCAAGTCTCACATTTATATATATAAGTATGTATACACACATACACACACATATACATATAGAGTAAGTGGATACTGGTCAGTAGTAATACACTTGCCTAGAATTGACAAGCCTGAGTCTATTCTCCAGTACCAAGGCAAAAAAGATAGAAACACCACAGAGTAGAGAATACTAATTTCTCAAAAGTATAACGGAAGAAGTCACAGCTGCCACAGATGAACTGAGACAAATTCAGATCCTTGTGGCAAGTCATGAAGGAGCAGTGCAAAGGATAAGTGCCAAGGACTAGAAAAAAGTAAAGAGGTCAATGTAATATGAATAACAGAAGCACAGGCTTTAGAGTCAAATACAAATTCTTTCTTACAGGCAAGTGATCTACAACAATTAAGAATATAAGAAAGACTGGCAAACTCAAGGTCCTGAGCTCGATTATCAGTACCAGAAAAAAAATACAAAATAAGCATCAATATTAAATGATACAAATAGACTACTTAGAATACAAAATAACAGTCAGCAACTGGCAACTTTTAGAATTAAGGAAAGAACAATCCAAAACTGAACATTAGCCTACTAATTTAAATTTCAGAGAAAAGCAAACACTGGTAAACCCAAGAGCAGCCTCTCAATCTAGAGAAAGTCATAAGATTCACACTCAAATCCACAAACAGTGAACCTTTTACTGGATATTAACATTTAAAACTACAGAGCTTAACAGTAACAATAATATTACCACTAGGTGGCAATGATACAACTGTATTTCACCAGAAACATTAATTTCAGAAACAGTGAAGAAATACAGACAAAAATTTTAAGAACCTTTTTAGTACCTAATTTTCATTTAGAAAAATTATTTCCTATATAATAGTAGAATTTATTATGACTCAGTATGTATGTTCAATTCTTATGCCTTTCCCCACTAACCATAGACAATTCACACAATGAACACAATTTTTAAATAATTTCATCAAAAATCTTTTGAAAAAAATATATATACACGTAACAAAGATAGCAAATTACAGAAAGCTGAAAATTTTTTTAAAAATTTGGAAAAAGGCATTAAGTAGTTCATCAAAAATGTTAAACGTTTCAAAAATGAGAATGATAACTTAAAAAATTTTAGACTAGGGCCAGGGATTTGGCTCAGTGGCATAAGTGCCTGCCTGGCAAATACAAGGTTGTGAGTTCAATCCTGGGTACAAAAAAAAAAAAAAAAAAAAAAAAAAAACTAGACTAAAACGTAATATGGGAATGTTTTGCTTTTACATTATAAATTATATTAATTTTAATATAAGCAAATTATTTTCAAAATGTTCAAGTTTATTAAAATTTATAATTCTTACCTATATTAAATTTCACAATTCCTTTTTTACAACTATCAAAACAATAAACAATGCAATTTCTATCTTGCACTTTCCATAGTTAACTTTTGCTTTTTTCATAAAAAGATACCAATATGATTTACTTTAAATGTTAAAAATTTTATTTTCCTTTTTGTATCAAATTACAGCCAAGTAGGACAAAATTTTTCAAGTCATAGGTAATATTTCTAAATATTCAGTAAATAAAAAAATCATACTTTAAAATTCCCAAGACGTTGGGAGTTCTTTCATTACATGAAGCATTAAGAAATCTGTATAATTAAATAATAAATGTATACTAGTACCCAATTTATAATAAAAAATCAAATTAAAACAAGCATATTTGTTCTTTGTATAAATAATCTGAAGTTTCCAAAATTTTAACTTCATTTCCTACAAAGAATTAATCAGAATATCTTTTATGTATGTTTTCCTAGTTTCTCATTTAGCAGTTACTTCTTATATCCAGAAAAATCTCTTCTTTCCAGCCACACAAACGTAAAACAGAAGAGTAAGTTATTTTTATCATTAATAGATCTTTATTTCCCCACTATTACTAAACTTCATTTTTTATAGATCATCCTGAAATCTAATGATACAGATCTTTCTCATCCTGTCAAGCTGTACACATACATAAAGCAAGTATTTATGATAGAGTAAGAATACTGTGGCAGCCCTCAAAATTTAAGCAAAAGGTTTTAGGAAAGTGCTTAATTCTGTTCACTATTATTTCTAACTTTTGCTAGAGAAGTTGGGGATGCCATTGCTCTTGAAGAGATGACTACAGATTTATACAACTGAATTACATTGGTATCTATACAAAATCAGGTTCTGATTATCTGCACAAATAAAGAGATAAAACAGATAATGAAAACACATTTCCAAGCTACTATACAATTTTTTTTAATCTGTAACTCACAGGTTATGTCTGAGAATTCAGAAAACAAAACTAAAACATATTGCAAAGACAATAAGCATGGTAAGCTTAATTACCAAAACAAAAATGATTAAATTAAAATACCATTATTGGCTTGCGTTTGTCAGCTTTTGTTTATTTCTAATGGTGGCTCTAAGTTTACGTATTACCAGTCTATCAGGTAGAATCATGTCACCTTGCTGTTCTAGATAACCCAACAAATTTTCAGTCCACTGGAGAGCAGCTGCATGATTTATATGTTTCTCTGGAATTAGTTCTATTTCCTCCTCTTCATTTTCACTAGAATCATCTGTCTGACCTTGTGCTCTTCTGATGATTTCACTGTCAGTTAATACTTCATAACCTGGTTCAGTACTGTCTACTTCAAACCATTTCTCAATGTTTTCAGTAGTCACATTTTCTAATCCTTTGGTATGTTGTAAAATGGTGGCCACAGTAGCCACAGAAATATCTTCGTCATTGAAGTCCAAGCTTTCTTTCTCCTCAATAGTAGGAAGAATTGGCTTCCAAGCCCTGCTAATAGCAACTGGTTTTACTAAGTTCCATGCCATTGCTATTTCATAAAGTGCATCCAGCAGAGTCAGCTTCTTCCAGAATGATCTTAAGTCATTACCTTCTTCCAAATTCTTCTGAAGAAGACCTACACGATAGTTTCTCTTCATTGCTCCTATGACTCCCTGATCCAAGGGCTGAATCAGTGAAGCCACATTGGGTGGCAAATATTTAGCAAATATTTGGCCATCATCTGAACGAAGGACATTTTCATTCGGATGTGTTGGTGAATTATCCAGCAAAAGTACAGCTTTTTCTTGCAAACCTTTGGATCTTAAGTACTCTCGAACCTGTGGCACAAAGATCTTATCAAACCATTGTCTGAAAATGGAAAGATCCATCCATGCACCTTTTTGGCTAAAGTAAGAGACTGGTAGGTTTAAAGTGTCAGTTGACTTGAAGGAGCGAGGAGTCTTTGCCTTGCCCACAACACAAAGTTTAAGCTTGTGCAAACCTGTTGCATTGGCACAACACATGATAGTAACTCTTTCTTCAACCAACTTGTGCCCAGAAATAGTACATTTACCTTTCATTATTGAAGTCCTGGATGGCAAACACTTCCAAAACAGTCCAGTTTCATCTGCATTGTAGATTTGTTCAGGTTCCAAGTTCTCTTGTTCAATAAAATCTCGAAAGTTGTTACAAAACTCTTCCACAGCAGTCTCGTCTCCATTTAACCTCTCATTTCTAATGTTAATCTCTCTAATGCTGTGCCGCTGCTTAAATCGAGTTAACCAACCAGCTGAGGGGTTAAAATCACCATCCATTCCCAAAGCATAAAAGAAGAATTCTGCCCTTTTTGCACAAATTGATCCAGATATGGGATTCCCTTTTGCTCTCTGTTGATTAAACCATTCCAGCATTGCTTTATCTAGTTCCTCATACATGGATGGTTTCATAGATTTCCTCTTAGCCAGAAGACTTGTAGAATCAGAACTGCTTGCATAAGTTATAATCTTTTCTTTATTTTTTCTAATATCCCGAACTGTTGTTTCACCAATTCCATAAATCACAGCCAGTTGTTTGGAAGAACCTCCATCTTCAAGTTTCTTTATTATATCAAGCTTATCTTTAATAGTCAACACCACACGCTTCCGTTTCCCTGACATAGTGAGCTTCCGGGATTGCCTTCACACTCAACACTATAGTAATCCACAAAATCCTTGTTTTTGACTCACTTTAACAAAGTCTTAACACAATCTTCAGACCTTCACAGCATCCTGATGGCCCTGACCCCTCCCCAGGTGGCTTGGCTGGCAAAGAGACTGCAGAGGAAGGTGAAAGAGGAAGTTTGAGGAAGTAGGCCTTTAACTTAGATGGGCAGTAGAGGAGGCCCCAGCTCACTACGGATAATGTGGATTACAGACATGTGTTTTATTACCCCAGGGGCCGCGAACATTATAACCGCATCATGGCCACAAACCTCGTTCACGCACAGGACGCGCGCGAAGGTCCTTCACTAACCACTGCCACACCCCAAAGTTACAGCGGAGAACGGAAGAGCCAGAATTACTGGTCTTCCTCCCCTGAGGAACAGTAACATTGGATTCCTTCCCCAGGTGCCAGGCCCTCCCGCTGCGCAGCGCCACTTCACCGCGGTGAGTTTAGCCTGAGAGTCCACCCGGCCCCTCTCAACCCGCGGGGACCCTCTCCCACCTCAGTCGTAACCAGCAACCCCGCGCAGCTTTGACTGCCGCACGGCGGCCGCTCCTCCCCTCAGCTCAGGCTCCCGGAAGACGCCCCCTCCCGCCGCCAGGCTCCGCCCCACCCCTCGCAGAGGCGGGACTTCCTCTAGTTCCCGGAAGGGGTGGGGCGGTGCTTCTCAAAACGGAGCTGGGGTGGAGGCGGAGGCAGAGGCGGAGGCGGTTTGAAAGGTGAGAGTGGAGGGCGGCGCAGGGCCAGCTCCCGGCGGGGACTCTCGCTTTGGATGCTAATGGTTTATTAGGAGGGCGGGGTAAACCGCTCCTCTAGCTAGCCGAGAGTGAAATCCAGCTGTCGCTCTCCGAGAGAACACCCAGGCGCCCCCCAGCCTTTTGCGCACCAGCTGCCTCCTCAGCGGAGCTGTGGTGCCTGTTATTTCTGCCGAGTGAGGTCCTCGGAACTGAGGCGCGGGGCTAGGTCCGCGATTAGGGTTTCTGGCCTTTCCAGACCCTAGTTTATTTTCTGGGTGCTGCGGTTCCGGGACGCCTGAGGTCCTATTTCCTGACTATGGTGCTCCTCCCTCCTGGAGGCTCAGTAATGCAGGAGTGGGCGGCGGCCTGCGCTGGGTGCCTTCTTCCCACCAAAAAGGCAGGTCTGCAAGGAAAGTGACCCTGGAATTACTCCCCAGAGGACCTGTCATTTGTCTACCGCCCAACCTTGCTAGATTTAGCGAGCCACCGTCAGTGTTAACAGATTTAATGGATGCTATGCTGTAGTTACCATGTAGCCAAGTTGACAGGATCCCTGCTGCCAAATTGTATAGTACTGGCCCATGATTTTAATGGGAGGAATTGAATTTCCTTTACAAATCTTTCTTATTTTCCAATTTTCTATTTATGTGGTGTTGTGCTGTACTTTTTCCTGCCAACAGGAGGGCAGTAGTAAATTTATTCACATCAGTGTACATACTGAAGCCCTCAAATTGTGTATCATGCTGTTTTTGGTATCCACAATATCTTTTTCAGATTCTGAGCTCTTTTGGAGCAGACACGGTGTTTATTTCATCGAATAACGACCCTGTTCCAAGCAGTGCTGGCATTTTAGTAGACATTTGACAGCTATTTATTTGGTTTATTAGTTTTACTCTCCAAATCCTCATTTAAAAAAATAAAGAGGGGTGATGTTTTTAAAAGTGAATGAATCCCTCTGGTACAATTTCATATAACGACCTGAAATTCCACTGACCTTCAAATCTTAAAAATCTAAACTACTACTTACATTGGTTATACAGCAAGTAAATGATTCCTATAGTAAATCTTTTCTGTACTGTAAATTATCAAAAGACATTAACTTATTTTAGGTGTAGAATTACTGTGAGAGAAAAACAAGCAATATGGATTATCATTAATTTATATTGTTTGGTAGATAATGCAGATGTGTATTTTATGTGATTTTTAACCATGAAGCACAGAGATGTGGTAATATTGATCTTCGTTCACTTGTTTACGGGTTTCTATTTGGAATTCTTTTGTTTTTCTTTGCCTAAAGATGAGGTATTACAAATTTGATTAAAATTCTCATTTCAAGAAACTGAATATAATTCAGCATGTACAGAAAATTATATCCATTTGCATGGGTTTTTTGTGTGTGTGGATTCTAAAGACTGAGATGTCTTACCTATCAAGGACCTTGTCGCTTCTCTCTAGGTTCACCCACTTTTTTTTCCTGCCTCCTTTCCAGCTAATATAATAAAGATATACATAGTTTAAAAGAGGGGCCAACCATATTCAAATTACCTTTTTCAGTAGCAGAAAAGTTTACATTAGTGATTCAAGTTACAATTTTGAATATGAGATAATTTGGCAGTCGGCCAAATGAAATTGATATATTTAAGTATAAATTGCCTCCTGAAGCATTCCAATTACATAGTTTTCCAGAGTACATATTTTTCTCAACACTACTTTTCTTGAAAACTACTTTGGGAGGACTACTTTAAATGTTGTAATCAGTGTCATCAATCAAATGGCAAAGGGATATCTGCAAATTTTTGCCTTTTAGGCACTCTCTTGTCGAGTTGATTATTTTCAGAAGTTTGTGGCCTAACTCGTGTGCACTAAAAGTTAGTTTAAAAAGCATGTTCGTAAATTCTGTTTATAACAATTTTGTTGTTAATTTTATGAAACTAAAATTAGCATGGATGAAAAATAAAATAACACTGTAAAGCTTAATTTCTTTATTACCTGTATTGGCAGGTAGTCGTTTAGCTCTTGACTGGGAATCAGGAGACTTTGTTTCTAATCCGTGCTGTGTCACCAACAAGCTGTGTGTGATTTTATGAAAGTCACTTAAACTCTGTGCTTCACTTTGATATTTATAAATGAAGAGAGATAGTATAAACTCATTTTCAGGTTTTAAAAATAAATATAAAAGTACACTGACAATAATACAGGAGGTGTCTTTTATACCTTATCTATGGGTAGTCATAGAGTGCTTTAATTTTTTCTGTCATTATCATGGGACTCATCTATCATATTATACAGACCTATGTTTTGAACATGTTGTTTTTTGAGGTAATAAACTAGTATATATAAATCTGCTTTTGAGTACTAAGGAAGTCATCGTTCCCTTTAATATTTTACCGTCCATCTTTTGTTTACTGTATCTATTGAAAACCATAATTGTACTCATTATCATAAATGCTTTTTTCATTATTTCTACCAATTCAAAGTGGTATGCTACACCCAAAGCTATACAGTACTGTCAAAAGTAATAGATATTTTTAAAGAGGTACTTTTAACTGCACAAAATTTTCATCTTTATTAATCTAAAAATAAAAATTCTATAAAATACAATATAGTATCAAGTATATCAGACTGTTTAGTCTATTGACTAGAATTTTTAGATTGCTATTACAGTATTGATTATTTCTTGTAGACTTATTATCATAAAGCTATACTTCAATGTATACTGTAAAGCTAATTTATGGTATATAATCTTACAAATCCTGGTGGTCTGATTTTAAATAAAGTATTATAATTGTAGGCAGACATATTGCATTATAAATATATTACAGTTTACATGATAAAATGATTAGTATCCTTTCCTCTCTCCTAGTTAATCATTTTGGAAAGTTATAAACTTGGCCCAGTGGTACTGTTGTTGCTCAAAAAATATTTAGGCTTTTGAGTTTGAGTATGTCAAGCATTTTAAAAATGTCTTTAATGACAGTAATACTAATTTTACAAATGTTTATTTCGAGAAACTTTTAACTGTTCCTTATTCCTGAGATAGGTGAATGAAGTGAATGTTAAAAATCACTCTTTTGAATTAAAAAAGTGTGATTATTTTAAAAATTTTTTGGTATTGTTTTGTACTCTGATTTATAGAAAACCTCCAAAAGTATACTGTGCTATAGTGGGAATATTGAAATATTCAGCTTGATAAGGTGACTTCTTTACATAGGTTCTTACACATATATTCTTAGATAACTATCATTACATTGTAGTCATGTTTCTCTTCCTTAGCAACCAGAGGTAGATAATGTATTAGTGATTTTCTTACTATTTTACCTGTCATTAATTATTCCTTGTTCATATATATTTATGAGAATTTTAATGGAATTTAAGCTTTTATAAGTCAGAAACTGATAGCTTTTATTTTTTTTTCCAGTATCATGACATTTTTTGTCTTGCTTGCCTGACTACATGATTGGATTGTTATTAAATTTTCTATTGTATTATATTACATCTTTAGCTTTATGTAGTTTAAAACCAGTTCCATTCTACTAAGGTATATAGAGGTTACAATTTTAGTGGGTAATTTTTCTCTAAATATTGTAATACTTTCCTTCTTGGTTAATAACTACTTTATAACTTTTATTCTTATAAATTTACTAAAACTTTAAAATTCATGTTATTTTTCTGTTCAGCGACCTTCTTTCTCTACAGGATGAATCATCCTGGTAATTTATTTTCCATCCTTGTCTTTTTTCCCTGCTTGAAGTTTTTTCTCACTACCTTTTTAGTAACACTTATTTACTAAACATAACATTCTTTTTTTTTTTTTCTTTTTTTGTCTTTTTCATTTTTATCGGTACCAAGGATTGAACTCACGACCGCCTGCTTGCAAGGCAGGTGCTTATGCCGCTGAGCTAAATCCCCAGCCCCTGTTCTTTTTTTTTTTTTTCTTTTTTTGAAACATAACATTCTTTATCAGTGACAAAGATTGGCCTTGTTTTTACCTGAAATATCTTTTTTTATTTCTAATATGATACAAAAGGAATACTTTGGATTTTTCTCAATTATGTTTGAATGCTTTAGTTTAGCATATAATTTTATGAAAGACACCATTTTTCTATGTATCCATTTCAACACAACATGTACATACTATAATTCAGAACATACTGTCTTATAGATAGATGTTCAGTGAATTATTTGTTGCATAACTTTTACCATCTCCTCTCATGTATTTCATGTGATTTTGCTTCTGTGAACCTTGTAATAAAGCAAAGTAAATATAGTGTTTACTATATATGCATTCATTGCTTAATATGTTTATCATTGTTGTATTACTAATTACTTTGTTCTGTAGAATCTTAAGTGAAAATGGTACGTGTTACAAGACGTGAAACAAGATTGAATTCTAAAACTCAAGTGCCTAAGCAAAAATCTCAAGTTGATTGGAGGCGGACCAAAAGAAATAATATCTCACAATTGTTTGATAGTGATGATGAGATTGATAGTGATGAGAGACTTGATAGTGATGAAGAGCTTTACAGCGATGAAGAGATTCATAGTGAGGAAAGTATGGACAATAAGGAACAGTTTGATTGTAATAAGGAGCTTGATGATAATAAAATACAAGAAAATGAAAGAGAGCTTAAAGTAATTGAAGTTGAATGTGGAGGAAGCAACAATAAGCAACTCATTAACATTGGTAACAGCTCCACATATGAAGAGGAAATAAACAAAACCAATCATGGGACTATTTACTTACTAGATCATGAAAAAGATGTTAGTCAGGAGGAGGGTAATACCAACAAACACATTGGACAAATCATGGAGGAAGATTTAGGTCATGCAAAAGATGTTAGTCAGGAGGAGGGTAATACCAACAAACACATTGGACAAATCATGGAGGAAGATTTAGGTCATGAAAAAGAGCTTAGTCAGGAGGAGGATGATATCAACAAACACACAGGACAAATCATGGAGGAAGATTTAGAAGAAGAACAAATCAAACGAGGCAAAAGAAAAAGATTATTTTCTGTAATGTACGACAGTGATGAAAGTGATGACAGTGATATCTTAGTTAGACAAGTAGGTTTTAAACGTCTATGTAGAGTGATTGAAGATGAGAGTTCTTCAGTGGAAATGGAGCAGAGTAATCCTGAAAAATCGTTAGGTGCTCGAAAGCAAGAACAGCTTCAGAAGCTGAAGGAACTCTCCAAACAAAGATCTCGCCAGAGAAGCAATAGTGGTAGCGATTTTGAGGTATGTTACATTTTGTTGGTTTTGTTACTGTTTTTAAGTTTTCATTTAAACCATTTAATTTTTATAAAAATCAAAGTACTGAATCTGTTCTATTACGTGGTAAGTCTGGAAGTTTTCATTCAAATATCCATGAACATGTTTGATTACACTATTGTGTATAATATGTTATTTTACATGAACCTCTGAGTCCTTTCTGCTTTTTAAAATTCTTTGTTGTTTTATATCATCTTTTTTGTTTAACTTGTATTTTTGATGTCTGTTTTAGATGTTTTATGTCACTTAAGGTATATACTTTCTAATTTCAAAAGTTTAGCATCTGACTGTAGAATTCCCTAATAATCTTAAAATAGGAACTTAATTCTGTGGGTCATTTTTTTCTGCTTTCAGATTTAATCTTTAATATCATATCCATAATGGCTATTTTAAAGGCAAAATTTTCTAATGCATTGTTTTCCGTTAATTAGGACTCTGAAAAGCAATCCTGCCCAATTAGTGATGAAGATGAGGAGGAGGAGGACGATTTTGAATGTGATGAAGATAGAGATGATTATATTATTGATGACTTTGTAGTACGAGATGAGGAGGATGACGAAGAGAATAAAAATCAACATGAAGAAAAATTGACTACTTCACAACTAAAATTAATAAAACAGAATTCTCTTTGTAAGTTAAATATCAAGGCAATGTTTTATGAAAGTCTAATCATGATAGTATATCAAGACAAATTACTTTTTAGTATCTTGTTCTGAGTCATTTATTAGGAACCATGGTTTCATTTTCAGATATCTTAAATTTGTCAGTTTATTCCATTAGTCTCTTTTCACTTTTAAATATTATTGTCCCCCAAAAAACCTTTGTTTCTAGCATGCTAACATTTACCAGTGTAGAAATGCACAATTGAGATAATTAAAGGTATTTATTAATTCATTCAAAATAAGATTAATAAAATTAATTACTGCAATCAGTAACATTTTATAAAGTAACTATTCTTTCCAAGAATGAAAGGATGACATTTTCTACATTCTTGCAAATGACCTTTAATGTCTAGCTTATTAGAAGGCAGATGGATTTGGGTACTGGAAATCGAACTGACAACCTCATGCAGGTGCTTATGCCGTTGAGAATATCCCTGGCCCCAGATGGGTTTATTCTCATTTGATATAAAACATCAGAATTGGGTAAGTGATGTTTTCTAAAAAGTTAGCTGTATAGCCCAAAACCATATAAGTGAACTTTTAGTATTCATAATAACCCATTGGGATATCATACAGTTTGAGTGGATATTTTACACATGCAAAATACTCATTCAGTGAGCCATGCAGATTCTCCAAATACTGATGCATTTCATTAAGCAATTTTTTTAAAAATTCACATTTGTTAATATTGCCACCACTATCACTGGAATATATTGTATCAGGAACCTATAAAGTACACAGTACCATGTACAAGTTTGTCAGAATTCTAATTTCCACTTAAAAACTGTTTTATTATCATTGGAAACAAACACTAAGGTCTTTAATGATAAATCACTTTTTGGAGATTTTTTTAACAAAATGTCTGAAAAACATCCAAATCTAAATAACCATACTTTGACAGTTGCTCTTTGGAGTAAAAAGGGTATTTCATGATAAATGAGACTTTGCCACATCATATTAGCTCAAGTGTTTAGCTTCAAAATAATCTTTGTAACTTGGTATGCAGCATAAGCATTTTATGTGTATTTCTCGTTTAATTCCATAGGGTGCTAGAACATTCGTACTTCAGGTTTAAAATGTCATAAAGTTAATTTTCATTACTTGCTAAGGCCATTCTGTAGTGAAAGTGTTGTTTTTAGACTGAGTGTCTACTGGCAGTGACTACAGTAATGACTAGTGGCCTGGTGCTTATGCTGTATTAAGGAGCCAGCTTCTTTATCCTGTGTGCTTTTGCAGTATCAGTGAAAATGTCTGAATCAATAAATAAATAAATAAATATTATCTTAATATAATATTTACTTACTTTGAAACCACAGATTTCTCTAAATGGACTTGAAGACTCCCAGGGATCTGTAGACTACCCCTGGAGAATTACTATTTTATCAGGCCTTTTGAAGTGTCATGTAGTCAGTGAAACCTGTTAGAGATAGGAAATTAGAATCTTCTATATTGCCACATAACTAATTAAAATATAATAATAGTCCTGAAATTTAGGATGTATTTACATATGTATTATTTGTTTGACCTTTGTATTTATGCATAAATTTATTTAAAGATGGATTTTGTGAATTTTACAACTCTGGGAGAAAAAGACTGGAGAGCTGAATTCTTTATATTTTTCTTCAGTAATGCATCCTTTCCAGAGTTGTAGCTCAGTGGCACAGTGTCTGCCTGGCAAGCACCAGGCCCTTAATTCAATTCCCAATACAAAAATAAACCAAAAAAAGACTGCATCCTTTCCAAATATTATTTTAGAAAATCAAGAATAACCGACTTTAGTTTCAGTCTCACAGTTTATAATAAAGTAGATTATGCTGAGAATTTCAAGAACTTAGCAGTATTACAGATGCAGTTACTAGGTATCTCTATGCTATGAAATTAATGACTTTATTCCTTATATCAGTAGGCACTGATTCACCTGCCACCTGTACATTTGAATTATAAGAATACTCAAGGTGGCACAAGCCTGTAATCCCAGCATTTGGGAGGCTGAGGCAGGAGGATTACTGTGAGTTTGAGGCCAGCCTGAACTGTAGTGAGATTCTGTCTCAAAACCAAACAAACAAAACAGCAACAATGTAAGATACTCAGGAGGCATCCCATCATTCTGTATTATGTATCTAGAATGTGATGAAACATTTGCTGAGCGATACGTGCTCATATTCACTTCTGCTGAAGTCTAGTGTATGGAAACTGCTTCAAGTTCCTTCTTTAACCTGTACTTCCATAATTACTTTTTATTGGCAATTTTGGATTCATAGAAATAGTAAGTGGAAAGTAAAGAGAGTTTGGATATTCTTTCACAGGCAGTTTTTCTTATACCTCTTGCTTTAATTTGGTGCCATTGGATGGGCTAGTATTGATACATTATCAGTAATATAGGTCATAGTTCTCTTTTAGTGCTGTACCTTCTATGGATTTGAACAAATACAAAATGACATGTATTCTCCAATATAGTATGTTACACTGTGTTGTGGCTTGTATTTAGATGTTCCCCCAAAGCCTCACATGATCATAAGTGGAGTTTCCTCAGAGGTGACTGGATCTAGAGTGTGTGATGCTGGAATTGATTCATAGTGCAGTGCTAGGCTTCATGGCACTGGCATTAAAGGAATGAGTGCTACCTGTCCTAAGCAGTCTGGATAAGATAAAAGGGCCAGAGAGATGTTGTTAAAGCCCCTTGGTGTTTTTGCTACCTTGTGAGTGCCATGAACCCTTCTCCTCTGAGATGCCCCTTTGCCAAGGTACCCTGCCTTGGAGCCAGCCAATTATGGACTGAAACCTCAACTAACTGTGAGTTAAAGAAATCTGGCACCTTTAATTGGGTGTCAGATATTTTGTCTCAGCAACAAGAGAGACAGAGGCAGACAGACAGAGACAGAGTATCCTAGGACACATGGTAATAGTTTTACTTCCTAAAAACGTTCCTTTTTTCATCCTTGTCCCTCTCCCTCCTCTGAACCTCTGGAAAACCACTGATTTTGTATGTATGTGTGTGTGTGTGTGTGTGTGTGTGCGCGCGCGCGCACACGCGCTTTGCCTTTAATAGAATGTCATATAGCTGGAATCACACTACTTTTCGTGTTTGCTTCTGTCATTTAGCATTATGCATTTCATGAAATCTCATTTCTTTTTATTGGGGAATAATATTTCATTATGTCTATTTTCAAATGTGGTTGTCCATTCATCTGTTGAAGGCCATCTTGGTTACTTCCATGTTTAATGGTTATAAATAAAGTTGCTATAAACATTTGCATGCAGGCTTTTCTACGGGCAAAAGTTTCTTTTTGTTTGTTTTGTTTTGTTTTTGGTACTGAGGATTGAACTCACAACCTTGCGCTGCAAGGCAAATGCTTATGCCGCTGAGCTGAGTCCTTGGCCCGGGCGAAAGTTTTTAGCTCACCTAAATAAATACAAAGATGAAGCTGTAAGCTTTTAATACTAAATATCTCTACTTTTGGAGAAGATATATGATTTTTTATGCAGTGGGTTTTACCTATTAATGTTCATAATTACATTTGTTTCTATCATCCATTATTTTATTTTCAACTTATATCTTAATCCTTCAAGTTGTTTTTCCTTCAGTCATAATCAGGTTTGTGCTTTCCTGCCTTGGGTTGGCATATTCCACAAACCGTAATTCTGAATCTTTTTGATCCTGTTTCTTAGTGATAATACAAACTAGTACCGTACTGTGAAATTACTCAAAGTAATTGAGTTACCAGTTGAATTACCAATATAATCTTCAGTTCTTACATTAACCTAATATTGCTATATACTTTACTTATCATTGGCCTATCTCTTCTTTTTTAGCCTTTTTTGTATGCCTCTTGCCTGCTTTTCCTCTGCAGTATTGTTTTCCTCTTTTTTTCCATTTGCTGTATAAATGTTGATGTTCCCAAGAATTCCAGAATCCTCAAATACCTTCATTTTGCCTGTAGTTGAGGCAGTTATATTTCCCATGAACTTTAGTTCCATATACAAGCAAAACATCACAAACTTTTATCTCTAAGATTTTTTCCTACCATAAAGCCCAGTTTGTTCATTATGTTATTTAGCATTAGACTTTCTTTTAAGCATCTCAGACTTTATATATACAAAATAATGATTAAAAGGTATGAAGGAGTGTGAGATGGAGCACTAGCTGTTGTGGTGGTTAGCTGTTGTTGTGGTTACATTATTTCATACATCCCAAAAATAATATTTGGTTCATAAAAATGTAAAGCCCCCAAAAATAAGCCAAGTGGGTCTGCCCATTTCCAAATCACAGTAAAGTTCAGTGGTTAACCAGCTTCCTTTTTCTTTGTATTCCTAGTACCTTTGGTGATATAGTATAGAAATTCATTGGTAGTTAAAAATTGATTGGCTAATTAAGATAATATTCCTGAGTTTTATATTGTAAGACAATTATATTGTAAGATAAATGTTAACCAGGACTAGATTTAAAAAAAAAAAAAACATTAGAGAGGAAAAGCATATATTTAGAATGACAATTTATGAGGTAGTTAATTTTATTTTTTAAAAACAAAAAAAGACACAGAAAAACAAAAAGCATAAGACAAACAACAATAGACCCAAAACGATAACTGTAGGTTTTTAAACCAAGATAATAAGAATTTAACAATGGTTGTAATATTGAATATTGTTACCTTCAAAAGGGTTGCTTAGATTGCCAGATACAGACAGACAAAATTGATCTAATCCTATGAGTATTAACTGTTTTTTCCAAGAACTAGTAGAATTAGTAGTATTACATTAAATTAAATAATAAATTTAATAATATAGTTAAATAATTTAACAATTTTATTATGTGAAGATAATGGTATTTAAGCAGTTTTTGATTTTCTAGGGAATACCCTTCTAAGACATGCCATAAGTTAATTATTGTAAAATCAAAATATATTTTCTCACTAAAGTATTATCCTGTATGATGAGTAATAAAAAATACTCTGTGGTCTGGGTTGTTAT